AATTCACCTTAATCAATAATAATTGTGTTTATAACATGATCTCAATACTCTCAATTAAAACTTCATCTTTCCCCAAACATCCACCCATCCCAAACACCCCCCAAAAAAAAAAAAAAAAAGGAAAATCCCAATTGAGATCTATAACTCTCAAAATATAGTATAAATATTATGGGAACAATACAAGCTCTGTGTGTGTGTGTATCTTAAGCCAAATAATACCGTCGCTCAAGAGACAAGCTAGTAGTAGGTGGGCGACAACTTCGTCGCAAGAGCGTCAGGTGAGCAACAAAACTCTGGAGAAAATATGCAGGAGTTGTTCGAGTGGCCAGCTAGCGATAGGTTAGCGAAAATGTGGCGACTTTTCTTCAAGATCCATAATTTTGATCTCTTCAAGTTCACTTCAACCAAAATTCCAACATCCACTAGAATCTGAGTCAAACAACAACAAATAGAATAACACATATATTTTTAATTAACAACAAAAAATGAAATTTTATATTCAATAAATTTAAAACTCAATATATATAAAAAATTCTTGCTTCATTTAGTTCATTATCACATCTTCTCTTGTTTTAATAAAATTAGGATATTTTGTTAATTTTAATTGCTGACGTCAGAAATTGCTGGGACTATTATTGAGCCAACTTTAAGAAAAAGGACCTGATAGTGAAAGGTTAAATTGTATACTTTGGACTAATTATGAAAAGTTAAGTTGTCCCCCCTCACCCCTTGAAAATGGAATATTTCTTACTATTTATCGAAGGCCTTTAGTCGAAATTATGTCATATCAATCAAATCAATTACAATGTTGAACTCGGACAGCGTGCCACCAATCTCTTCGTTGATTGGTTGATGAGGCCGGTTCACCATGTCAATGTCCCCTTCAGCTAATGATGCCCTGCAAATGATAGAAGAATCAAAGTGGTTGATTGGCGAGTTGGAAGGTGCTGATGTTATTTCCCACAAGTGCATGTGACTGATAGGGTGATTCGACAGAATGTAACGAATCTATAATCATTTTGTCTTTCGGGACTACGGCGAAAATGAGAACGAGCTGACCTTACATGGCCGACTTGGTATACATATGAGGTGGGGTCTGCGAACAATAGTTATAAGACCGAAGGTCGATGGTCAACATTAATAATTTAAGAGTTATTGTAATTCCAATGAAAAGTAAAGAGTTCAGATCATAGTTATTAACACGGACTTGATCGACTGGTCCGACTAGAAATTAGGTGAATTGAATCCTAATCCAGTCTAATCAGCATATTGGACCAATGTATAATTGAACAACCATTCTTCTACTGGAACTGACTTCTTGCAAAATTTTAACACATATATGAAATTTTACAAAATGGAGATTGCACAGTATCCAGCTTCAAGTTTGCAAGAGTCATACTTTTCCACTTAGATACCTCTATATTTGATATATAATATTTATTTATTTATTTATTTATTATTATTATTTTTTTGTTGAATCAGGTGTCCGAACTTCGCCAAACTAATCCTAGGAGTGGCGGCAGCCCCCTTTGGTTCGTCACTCGGGTAAATTCGAATGTGATCACAACTTATACACATTTGGACACAATATTCGAGATGTGGTTCTCCTTCTTGCGAACATCTCTTTACGACGTGTAAACAGGACTCCCGAAAGAACTACAAAGCTCACCATAATTTTGTCTAGACAGGACATCTATCTTGTAACGTAAATGTTGCCTTCCAGCTATCGCAGGGACTCGAACCTTCGATACTCCGTAGAAAACCTTAACATTTTACTATTGCGCATGCCTATATGGGCTGTTTGATACAATTGCTGTCTCCAAATATGCATTCCATACTTGCTTTTGATCATATTTTTCTAAAAAACATTAAATATTTTTTTAATAAAAAAATATGACAAAAAAATTAACGATAAATAGAAATGAAAGATCAAGTAATATGAAAAATGTATAGATCTTATATTCAATTTTTAAAAAGAAAAAAAAAATTGAGAATTTATATATTTCAATTAATAATTGAATTTTAGATTTATAATCTACTTTTAATTTCTAAATTTATAGTTATATATATGGCTTTTTATCAAAAAAGGTTATGTTTTACATTTCGATGGTGCAATGATTTGTTGGCCGAGCCAGTGACCCGCTATCTTAGGTTTAAAAGTTGAGAACCAATGAATTATTGACTCTACATTTTCAGGAATTTTGGAAAGTCAAAGAATTTCTAAACATATTTTTCTTTTTTTGCGTTATTCCCCTCAAAAATTGTAAAATATAATTATAGTTGATATCCATTAGCCCAACCAGACAACTGGTAAACCCATAATGAAATGTGGGAGGATTCACAATTGTCAACCCAATCGAATAACAATTATGAATGGTCCCCCAATTTGAGTTTGAGGGTTCACGAGGGCATTGTGCATGTGACTCTGGATCATGACCTTAATTGGGGGTTGGACCAATCAATGTACAATGAGTTTAATTCGATTAGATTATAAATAATATTTTGTTCTGAATGTATGTGGATCGCGATACTCACGAGCACGATAAAGAAACCAATAATTGCATAATTGTTGTAAAATATTTGATTATGATAAGAACTAGTTGATCTTGTTTAGAAGTCTTGATGGCTTTCTAACTTACCATGGAAGATTTATTTGATTAAAATTGTAATTTCTATTAGCGCGCTATATGAGTTCATCATTATTGCGAAATACATTTTGAGTCTTGATCTCCGATTCTCTTATATTAACAAAAATAATTATTTTTTTATATTTAAAGAAGAACACGATGGTATAGCAAATAAGTTAGCAAAATAAATTATTCTTTTCTGTTCAGAACAAAAGAATAACGTTGCATTTATACTCTGGATAAGCATTATACTATTATCTATATTTCAAAATATCGTTACATTGTTATTTTTGAAGAATCATAACTTAGCCCCTGTTTGACAATCATTTAAATTAGATTTTAATTTAAGTCAAAGTCAAACAATCAATATTATCCACATATTTCATGGATCCCAAAAATTTTCAAACACACATTTCAAAAATTTCTATCAAAATTTATTAAAAATCAAATTTTAATTCGCAACAAAGAGGGCCGTAATATGAATAGTATAAAGAAAATTGTGTTTATGTTCCCCAAGAATTACAATCCAATTAAACAAATGTAAGATCCGTTTCTTCCCCTTTTAGTTTCTTCCCGAGCAATTGATGGTTAACACTCTTTAGTTTTAACATTTATAAAACTTTAATTCATTATTCATGGAGTCATTGATTGGAATGTAACTAAAGCCATGGCTTGCTGAGATCTTAGCTGTATCCCTAAACTTTAGTACAAAAACCACTACAGAATTTACAGATTATACACCATCAAATTTCGAGTGTTGGAGAGCTTAGAAATGCCATTACCTAGAACAAAAAGGGAGCGTCTGGAACAATATCAATGGCTGATCTATGATGTTTCATTTTTCTTTATCCAATATTGTTTTGAATCCATTTTTTATCTTACATTTGGTATCGAAGCAACCCATTACCTCTGGCATTGATGTTTCACTGTCAATCTACAAAACTTTGTCTTCTCTGACGAGTTTTGTTTTTGAAACTAAATTTGGATTTCTCCATAAAATCATTTTTCTAGTTTTTATTTTATTTTATTTTTTTATTTTCAACGTAAGATTTGCATGGAGGAAAGGGTTGAATTTGAGCAGGTCTAGTGTCGGGTCGATTTCAATCGGGTAGGAGGTTGAATATGACATTGTTGGGAAAATTTCATATACTAGACAGTAAACAATCCCAATTTCAAATTTAAGAGTTTAAGGTTATTGTTTTAAATATAAGAGAATCTTGTGTATATGTGTGTGTGTGTGTGGACAGAGAGAACAAACCGTTACAAACCAATCCCTTAAATCAAGCTCCAGACTCCTTCTGTGACTGGACTCTATGACTAGAAACTTACTCCATAAAAGCAGCACCATTATTCACGCAGAAGGTTACAAAAAATTTACACAGAATTTGTCTCTCTCCATTCTTTTCTGCCGTCGCTGAAATCGTAGACCAGTTCATGTCAATTTGTGTCAATAGCGTCAAAAAAACCCACGACTACGGTGACTCATCTACGTTGCGGATCTACAGAAATATAAGGTACATAATGTTTCTTTGTTTATGGTTCACCACAGAATATTGCACGGATTGTTCATTTCTGTAACCTAAGTTTCCAAGGTTTATGTGATCCAAAAGTGTGTGACCGTCTGTAACTTAAGCACCATTGATGCATGTTGATAAAAAGTGTCACACAACCTTTAATATCGTTGTGTCCAGCAATATTCGGCTGTGACATTAATATTCCTTGTAAAATTGTGCAGGATGGATTACGTGTATGTGTGTTTGTTACGTGGATCACAAGTGTCGTTGCTTATGGTTGATCACAATTGTAGCTATATGAAGCTAGTGAACAGTGTCGTCAATGAGTTATGTTTGGATCAATCGAAGGTAGAGGTCACACTTAAGTATGAACTGACAAGTGATCTCCCCCCAGTGTTGATAAAGAATGATAGTAATGTAAATTCCTACCTCGTGCTGAAGAGCCTGAATTGTGACCCTTCAAAATATCCATTAATCGTTGAGGTCACAACAGTGGATGGACATGAAAAACCATTTGAAATTCCAACTGGTGTACGTACCAGTGAAGATACGTTTTCGTTGGTTGATATGTCATCCAACATATCTGACGCAACAATTGAAAACGTGGGTCACATATACGAGAGTGATGTGACTGTGGTGAATGTGGCCGATGGAATGATAATAAAAATTGGAAGGATATTTCGGAATAAGGAGACACTGAAAATGAGCTTGGCATTCTATGCAATACATAATATGTTTGAATATATGGTCGTTCGTTCAGACAAGAAGGAATATCTTATAAGGTGTTCTCGAGAGGAGTGTAGTTGGATATGTAAATCATCTAAAAACGGGTGCAACAGATATGTTTAAGATAAGACGGATGACTGATGGTTACACATGTGCTGCAAATATAGTATTGGGGGCTCATAGACAAGTGACAGCATCAGTTGTGTCCATGTGCATCAAATACAAGTACAATTCATTTCGGACAAGGTACACTCCACATGATATATGCAATGACATGTTACACAATTATGGGGTCTCATTAAATTATGTAAAGGCTTGGAGATCCCGAGAAAGAACATTGAAAATACTTAGAGGTGATCCAACGGATTCATTCATGAAGATACCAAGCTTTTTTTATATGTTAGATCAAATCAATCCCGGTACGGTAACAGGATTGGAACTTGACAGCCACAATAGATTCAAATACTGCTTCATGGCAATAGGTACATCAATTAGAGGATGGCAACATTGTAGACCTGTGATGGTAGTTGATGCAGCGTATTTGAATGGACATCATGGCGGTACACTGTTCACGACATGTACGCAGGATGCGAATAATAGCATATTCATTCTTGCATTTGGGATTGGGGACAATGAGAACGACAGATCCTGGACATGGTTCTTCGAACAATTGAAGAGTGCATATAGAAATAGGAAAGGTTTGTGTTTTGTATCAGATCGCCACAATAGTATCAAGAATGTAATAGAAAAGGTGTATCCAGGGATATATCATGGGATTTGCTCATACCATCTACTACAGAACCTAAAGTCATATTTTGGCAAGTCGGATCACAATATAACACAGGCATTCAACTCGGACGTTCGTGCATACACCCTAGCAAAATTTGAATATAACATGCGGCAGCTTGATTCAATTAATCCAAAGATTACAGCCTATCTAGTAATTGTCTACTGATAGTCACATTAACATACATTCTTCTATGTCGCAAAAAGGATGTGTATATCATTGTTGTTATTTGTCCTTGTTTGTAGGCCAAAGTGAACCCCGAGAAATGGTCAAGATTTCACATGCCAGCTAACCGGTATTCTATAATGACTTTGAATATAGTAGAATCTGTGAATACAGTGACAAAAGTAGCGAAGAACTTCCCTGTTGTGGCTCTATTGGATTCTTTGAGACAGACTATACAATCTTGGTTCTGTAAACATAGGGACTCCGCGTCCGATACTTTCACAAAGCTGTCAGGGAATAACGAGAAAATTTTAAGGGATATGAGTTATGATTTGAGAAACTTCACGGTAATGTTTGTACTTATGACCTGTCTTTCACGACTATAATTTATCCTCTAATTTGAAAGTAGGTTGACATTGACTGTCACTGGAAATGATCTAGTTTTGTGTCATTATTTACAGGTGTCTCTTACAAATCAAACCATTTTTTCCATTCATGGTGATTGTTCGTCATTTATTGTTGATATGGAACAACGTATGTGCACATGCAGGACATTTCAAGTGGATCAATTATCCTGCCCGCACGCCTTGGCCGTTATTGCAATGATGAAGATGGATGCATATGATTATTGTTCATACTTCTACACGAGGGATGCATACCTCAATGCTTATAAACACACAGTGTTTCCAATTGGAAACATCAATGAGTGGACAGTACTGGATGAAGTTGTAAACATAGTTGTGCTGCCACCAAACCAGGAAAGAAGTACAGGATGGCCATCCGAAAAGAGGAAGAGATCATCTTGTGAAGGGAAAAGCATATTCAAGTGTGGACGTTGTGGTAAAAATGGTGACAATCGCAGAACATGCACTAGTTTGGTTCCATTATGTCAAAGTTAGTCGAAGGTGTAAACGACTAGAATTAGTATATGGGTAAATTCAATGTAGTGTATGACAGATGAACACGCAAAACAGTCATTTGTGACTTTGTCATTAAACCTATGCCTTATTGGATGTCACATGTCTTGAATCCTAATGCTAATCATGAAGACGTATAAATGGCATCAATATTATAATATGTGACCGCGTTGTGATTTAAAAAACATAAAATCTGAGCAATTAATTACATATACATTTGTGTGTGTGTTTTTTTGTTTGTTTGTTTGATAAATGGTTGTAACTTGTCACCCAGATAGGTAATTTGTGATCCCGGCATAATATATACGTAGATAATTTTTTTTGACAACCATTTATATATATATATATATATATATTTTACTAAGTAATGTGTGTAACCTCTTTGAAATCGTAATTTGTGACTGTAATACGATATACAAGTGGGACTGTGAACATAAAGTGTTTGTGACCTATGATCCCAACATATTATACGTGCGACCTTGTTGCCGATTGTATTTATGACAGTAATATAATATGCAATTGTGACCGGGTATATACTGTATGTGACCTATGACCTACAATGCTTTTGGAATCCCAACATAATATACGTGTGGTCTGTTGCACAATGCATCTATGATCATAAAAAGGGTATGAGATTGTGACCGTTTACATACTGTGTGTGACATGTGACCTACAATGCTTTTGACATCCCAACATAATATACGTGTGGCCTGTTGTACAATGCATTTGTGACCATAGAAAGGTATGAGATTGTGACCATGTATACACAATATGTGACCTGTGACCTGGTATATACTATCTGTGACCTGCAATGCTTTTGGGATCCCAACATAATATACGTGTAACCTGTTGCACAATGGATCTGTGATCATAAAAAGGGTATGAGATTGTGACCGTTTATATACTGTTCGTGACCTATGACCTATGACCTGCAATGCTTTTGACATCCCAACATAATATACGTGTGGCGTCTTGTACAATGCATCTATGACCGTAAAAAGGTATGAGATTGTGACCATGTATACACAGTATGTGACCTGTGACTTGGAATGCATTTATGATCTCAACATCTTATACTTGTGGCTTGATTCTAAATGAATCTGTGACCAGACTATGATATACATATGTGACCATACGAGAAAATATGCCCGTGACCTATGTACGAAATTAACAACAACACTGATCTGTGACCTAGCATTCATTTGTGAACTGTAATAATGATTCCATTCGAAAATAATTCTTCCAAAGTAAAGACCAACTAACAGAAACTAATAAACAATAAGTAATTGAAATCTGCCTTGTACCAACATATAGTACGGCATACGCGACATAAAACATTCTACTTAAGCATAAAACATTAAAAGTATTCGTCTAGATAACAAAAAAATCAAAAATTACGAATGGTCCTTCCATTACAAATGTGGCATCAATAATCATAACACTTTTGAATATCATTCTATAACTATACCCCCCTCGACCTTTTCGTTCCCTCCTTTAGTTGCCTTCTTGATGTCACGATGTTTGTACAGTTGTGCAGCTATGTCCAACCTGGCTCTGGCAGCATCAAACTCTTTGGGCATGGACTCCAAGTCATCATGAAGAATGTATTCAGCATACTTGATAATACCCCAGTCGTAGCTGGAAAAGATGTAGAAAGTTCGTTAGCTTTCACATCAACAAGGAGGTCACACTTACAATATTTATGGAAACATATTAATTGGCAGAATATGAGATGATGGTAAGTATCGTACCCGTTTTGCTGTTGTGGAACATTATAACCTAGCACGATCCTCAACTCCATGGAATCACCTTCATCATTATCTGGATCCTTGGTCCATAATCTAAACGCTCTCATCAGGTGAGGGATGACTCTAATGAATGGTTCAATGCCGGTACGAACGCGTAAATCCAGGTATGTCCGTCTACCTAAATTGAATATAGACATCGTACGTTCTTTTATGTCAAGAACAGCCAACATCCAATGAGCCTTGTTCATAGGCAACATTGGCATCAAAGCTCGGTCCACTTCAGACCATGGACAACTCAAAGGTAGTCGGACACCTGTCACATCATTAATGAGCCACGTATCAGTCAGTAGAACATATGGATCCTTCTTGAATCAAGGATAGACATGCTTGATTTCGGCCTGAAAGTGGGAGTCCGTTGTGGTGGCCTTGTTCTTGACATTTTCCCCATACAATGCCAATTGACATATGTAGTAAAAGCAAGAGTCCATGTGCTGTTACATGAAACGGGAAAAAAATCAGCATGTTATCATTTGTGTGACTTGGCATGCATTCGTGATGTGCACTTGTGATTTGTGACCTGATATGCAATTGTCTCTATGGCTTCCATATGTGTGTGACCAGCATACAAAATTGACAACATCAATATCTATGAACAATGTGTCACCTATTATGCTTACGTGGGATGAATAAAATATATTTGTGACCTGAATTAAATAACTGTGACCTGACTAAATTTTTTTGTGGTAAGGATATCAATGTCTGTAACCATCCCATTCACTGTGTGCACGATAAATCATGAGGCATTAGTACATCATGCTTCATAAAGTTAGAAACATTATTTCTGACCGAAGGTTACCATGTTAGTAAAGGACGAATCTGATGATACGAGGTCATGCCACCAAGTTTTACTGTCGATAATGAATGTTCCAATACAGAAAGGAGGCTTAATAACATTGTCGAGATCGTTAAATTTTTCCTACGAGATAAAAAAGAATATCAGTGAACATTAAATCATCCATCGAAAAATTTAATGCTGGGAATGTATTGTCGAACGTACTTACTTGTTTGTTGATTTGTAACCTCTATGAAACCAACTCTTAAATGCAACAAGATCAGCATCGTCAGAATGTTGATTGTATAGACGAAAGACTATTGTATTGTCCGAGCTCTTGCTATGTTTCCCTTCGTTGGAAACGAATAGGGACTGCAATATACGCGCGGGTCTGGAAACCCGCTTCAATGGTAGTCCAAATGACCATGCTGATGTCAGAGATACCTATCATATAGTGAAGTATTAATCACAATAGTTCATGTGTGACCAAGTAATATCTAATCTAATACTCATTTTCTAACTGGTGATTTGGAACAAGTCACCTTCTTATCAGCAACTTCTGTGTTCGCAACTACGCAGGACGTTATAGTATCAGTTTGTTCTTGTAATTGATGTGTTCGAGGCATATCAGGGTTGCTAGATACATGTTGAGTAGGCTGGGTACAACCAATCCCCAAATCAAATGATGGCGGTTCCAAGTTCATTGGGTTGAAAGTTTGCACATCGGGGTACATTTTTCCCTTTCCTTTTCTGTTAACAGATGCGTCAACATTTTTTCCCTACACGAGACACAACCATGAAAATTTAATGAGTGCACTAACAACTGGGTAATATGACCTTGGAAATAGATAAACATATCTCTTCCTGATTGGATGCAGCTCCAGTGCAACTTGATTCATATATCTCTTTGAACATGTCCATTATTTGATCCATCGAGCTAGTTACCATTGCGATCACAGAATCAGATAGAAATTTTAGATCTGACTTTATCTCCAGCAGGTCAGTCCTGATATTCTCTTGCACACGAACAACGATATTGAGCTTGTGACTACTGTCAGCCTTTATGGAAAGTAACTGTTTCCTGACATCATCAATTTTCACAGACAACTCCGTATTCTTATTTCAGAGATCAGTAACATCATGTTTCAAAAGCTGCAAAATGGAAAGCATCTGAGAATAAGTCAACTACATGCATAGCATAAGATATTGAAGAATTAATTTGAATGTGACCCAACATACTGGACTGTGTCCTACATATTGTGAAAGGTCACATAAAAATAAATCAATGTGGCGGCAGACAGATGCATATATATATGACTTATGTGCAAAAATTGCGTCATATTTGTGTCTACTGAACGACAATGTACAACGTGATTAGAATTTGTGACCAAGATTGAGGCCACAAATATGAAAAGTATGGATATGGACGTACTTCAAAATCAGCTGTATACGCTGCATGGGGTGGAGACATAGGAGCAAATGCACCCTCATCCTTCGGTGACCCCACATACATCTTGTCCGACTCCATTGGAGGGTCCATGGAAGAACGGACAGGGAATGATGTCTGATAAGTGTGTTTTTGCACACTTATTTAGGTCACAAACATGACTTAATAATGAGCAAAATGATTGAATTGTGATTTAATCTCGTTATATTTGTGAATTATAGGGAACACCGATGAACATGGTGAAATTCAGAAGAAAAGAGCCGAAAAAAGACTAAAATGGAGCAAAGTGATAGTTCGGGGACCAAGTTGCAAATAATTCATAGATGAGACGGGAAATGGAATGAAGATTCAAGAGTTTTAGAGGTTAATCTGATGAGGAAAGGAGTCAAGAGGTGAAATATGATCGAAATATTATCAAGTATCAACTTTCAGGCGAAAAAACTATGCTCGTGATTTTTAATCTCTATTTGAGATCCATTTTTGACATAGTAAACATCAGAATTTGAGGAAGTCTATTTCTATCAAAATGTAGATCTTTGAGTTTTTTTCACAATGCACTTTGAATTACTTCAATCGAAGATCAGGAGAGAAAGTTATGACTAAAATACTAAAAACTGTCCAGCGAAAAGAATTGTATAACTATGCGGTCGCATAGTATAAATTCTATCGCTCGCATAGAAGCCTCCCGAGAACTTTTTCTCAAATTTTTTTTACTCTATGCGACAGCATAGAAATGTACTATGCGGTCGCATAGAACAAGATTCGGGGCCGATTCAGCAGTTTCCTTATTTCACCGAAACTCTTATGGAAAGGAGATTTTTAGGGTTCTATATAAACTAAAACTCGACCAGAATGATGGGACGCCACTTTTACAGAATTGGAGCGGATTATACACATATTTGGAGGATTTGGAGAGGAAGAACAAGGCAAAAACAAGGCAATCCACTTCAAGATT